AGATAGATAGATGGTCAGTAATCTAATTCAAAGTAGTTAAAAAGTGCAATGTTATCACTTCAAGTTATAACTGTGGCACCGCATTGATTTTGCTTAAAATTTAAGGCTGCAGTTAAACCTAAGCCTTCAGTTTTAGTGGGATAAATGTTTTACAGTGAGAGGGGTGCTGCAGTCTCATTAAATGTGATGTGAACAGAAGTAGCAATAATCTTCTATCATGTGACCCTGTTATCTTCATTCTCTGAGGTTTTTTGACTAATGGATTTTAGCATGAGAGCTCATCTCTAAATATTCCCATGTGCTTTCCTTACTATAGCAGGGACACTCACAATAGGACACAGGGCCAGTATTTGAATTGGCAGGAGAGAGAGAGAGAGAGAGAGAGAGAGAGAGAGTATGCAGAGTCATGCTACATTAAATTGTCCGTTAAATGTCTACAGACTAGTTGGGGACCAAGTTCTCCCATTAAACCCATTTCCAGGTAGTAAACAGGACAGAGCACTGAGTGGCAAACCCTTTTAACGGCCTGAAGGGAGTAATAACATTAGTATTTCATTTTGAGGCTTTCTAGTGTTATGTCCCACAGGTGAAAAAAATGCAGTGGGTTTGTTTCTGTGCTTGTGTGCTTTATAAGCTCTGTCTTTCTCTATAAGGATACCGGTTCAGGGACTGTCATTTGTAAGTTTAGAAAACATTGCTTGAAATATGACAAGTTGATTTCTTCTTCATCCATCACACACAAATGAATTAGTAAATAATTTACTACATTTGCCCAACAGCATAGAAATTTGGTCTTTCAGCAATGTTTGCAATTCCACAGTGGTGTCACTGGCACTCAGGATAACAGACTTAGTGTTTATATACAGTAGTATTATTAAAGAAATATACTGGGTTCAGTTCAAATTTATATTGACAGAATATGTCAAATGCTGTTGATTTACAACAGACAACAATTGACCTAAAATAATTGTGCATACAGTAATGTGTGTACAATGGAAGTGTATAAATGTTAAGTGTTCCTTATTATAAATGCAGTGGAAAATACATTTACAAAAATTCAGCAACATGATGTGATCAATAAATTACTGCAAAAACTTGATTTTATAAAATGTGATACATAAAGATAAAAACAGAAAGTTTTTTTAACATATTTTTTCTGACTAATTTCATTATTCAGGGATAATATAAGCACTTTAATAAAAATATGAGCTTCACATTTCTGCTTTTAATCCTTTGAAATGCCTTGCCCCATTGTATTGCAATTGTATGGCTGTAAATATGATGAGTTTTGATTGTTTGTACAAATTAAAGGGATAGTTCACCCAAAAATGAAAATTACCCCTTGATTTACTCACCCTCAAGGCATCCTAGGTGTATATGACTTTCTTCTTTCAGATGAATACAATCGGAGTTATATTTAAAAATGAACTATCCCTTTAAGGGAACGAATCAAAAAAATTTTATGCTAAGGATGTATTAAACCAGGAAAATTCCTTTAATCTCTCCCCCTTTTTCATTCTCTTTCTCACTGCCAGGAGAAATGTTAAGATGTCTGCAGTGTGTCAATATTCCCTCAGAGATGTCCAGACAGCTTTTGATGGGCCTTACATGGAACTACAGGACACCAAATGGAGGGAGTACACTGGGAAAGTTCCAGAACCGAGGCCTGGTTCGGTGAGATGCAAAATAATCTCATAATATCTGTTATAATAGGACAGCTCTTTGGGACTTGTATTGGAGTCAATTGCATTGTTTCTATTTTCACTCTTCTCAGGAATGTTACATAACAGTGGCCTTGTTTCTCTTTAGTGTATAACTGATCAGCATCGTGCCCTGCTCATAAATTCCTCCCGGGATCTCCCTGACAACGTACTGAATTTCGCCCGGAGACATGCTTTAATGTCCAGACAGATCCAGCCAGTGGGAGGACGTCCTGTGTTGCTCCAGAGGAGCGCGGACTACACCAAGATCGCCGTAAAACAGGTTGTGGGTTTGGATGGACGTGTCTATGACATGCTCTTCATTGGAACAGGTAAGAGGAGTCTATTTCCATTGCTAGTTATTATTTTGATATTGAGATTAAATGGTCATTTTGATAGATTTTTGATTGTGATATTAAGATTATAACAGTTTGGGGTTGGTAAGATTTTTTTAATGTTAAGAAGAAGTCTCTTATGCTCACCAAGGCTCCATTTGTTTGAACATAAATACAATAAAACTGCCATTACTCCAGTCTTCAGTGTTACATGATCCTTGAGAAATCATTGTTATATGCTGATTTGCTGCTCAAGAAACATTTCTTATTATTATCAATGTTGAAAACAGTTGTGGTGCTTAATATTTTTATGGAAACTGTGATACATTTTTAAAGAATAATTTGATGAATAGAAAGTTCAAAAGATATGTTTTGTAAAATTAGTAATATCTTTTTCTTTAATTTAATACATGCTTGCTGAATAAAATTATTCATTTATTTAAAAAAAAATCTTACTGACCACAAACTTTTTGAACGGTAGTGTATATTTGGGTTCATACTTTGAAACTTGGTTTGTGTGCTTCTCTTCAGATGAGGGCTGGTTACACAGGGCTGTAAAGATCAGAAACCGTGTTCACATCATTGAGGAGCTTCAGCTGTTCAAGAAGAAACAACCAATCAATAACATGGTAATATCACAAAAGCAGGTACATGATACACCTAGCACCCATTAAAAACCAGCATAAAATCCAAGCATATAGTACAAACGCTTTTGGATCCCCCAAAAGTTAGGATGTGCACTTTTGTTCAACAGAACAGTATCTATGTGAGCGCCTCCACCGGAGTGGTGCAAGTACCCCTGTCATCCTGTGAGCGCTACACCTCCTGTTATGACTGTGTGTTTGCACGAGATCCATTCTGCGGCTGGGATGGTAGAGCATGTGCTGAAATAGCAGCTTACGCTAACAGGTAAATGCAGGTATCTGGTGTTTTTAATAACAGTTTTCACATATGTACTATGTATGTCACCATAGTCCAAAAGTCATTTTTGTGACAGTGGCAGATGATTTAAGAAAAATTACTAGGGATGCACAATATAATGTCATCATATCAGAGACCAATATTGAATTTTTACTGGCTGATATTGGATATATAGTATGATCTTTGCTTATTTTAAGATTTTGATTCAAACAGTATATATTTTTCTATAGCAGATTTCAAAAAAGCAATTATCTTTATTGGATATATTTTATGCTGTAATGTTGCGATGTCTAAATTAACTAGCATACAAACATTTTTATTTTAGTTGTAGTGATGTTTTTAGTTTTATTTTGCATGATTATTTTTGTATGTAGTTCTTTATTTATTTATTTAGTTAGCTAGAATTTTCAGAATTTTAATATCAGCGCATTTGTAAAAAATGTTTAAATATTTAAATTTTATATGATTTATATAAATATTTTTATTTTTGTAGTTTTTCATGATATATAATAAATATTTATTTTATATGAAACTTGCATTATTATTATTATTTTTTAAATTAGTTCTTAAGACAATGGATTTAGCTGTTTTTGTCTTGCATATTTATGATAAATAGTGCAGGTCATTGCGTCACCACAATTATGAGCCTGTCTTAAATGAAAATACACAAATGAGGAATATTGAGAAATTAACAACTTTAGGTATCTTAAATAAACCTCTGATGGTAAACTTTCCAATGAGATAAAAGTTGTTGGAAGATGTGCATCAGTGAGAGTCAGGCTATTGTTCTTACAATGTGATTTAAACCATCTAATGTTAACATTCCTAATAAAGCTACCAGCCAGCTGGTGAGTAAAGTGACTTATTTTCTTGCTAAAGCCAATTTTTACTTTCATTGGTCTCTTGGTGTTAATTTTCAGGCCCAGTGTCCAAAATAAATTCACAGAATGTTCTGCATGCTTCGATTAATGGCATTAATAAGTGCAACTCTGTGTCTTGTAGATATAGTCTCGTCCAGGACATCCAGATGGGAAGCAGAGGCTGTACTAATATTACAAGTGATGGTGTGTTTGCATGTGAATAATTTCTGAGCAGCCTAGTCAGGTGACTTTTAAGTGTAGACTAATAATGTCTCACATTTTGCCAGGTTTTGTCATGCACCGGACACGTGCAGTGATGGCAGGAGATGATGTTCTGTTACAGTGTGAGATTCGTTCTAACCTGGCCACCCCTCACTGGACACTGAACAGTCAGCAGCTGCAAGGTTACGGCATAGACTTCGGCTACCGCACCGGCACTGATGGCCTCCTCATCATTGGAACTCAGAACCAGCAAAGTGGACACTACCGCTGTTACGCAGTAGAGAACGGTGTCTGGGTTCCCGTTCGCAGCTACGTGGTACGGGTCCAACCCGTTCCACCTCCTGCATCACATCTCTCGGGAAGCCCAACGGCTTTACCCGAAAGTTTCTTCACCACCACAACCGCATCAACTCCGAGTCCTTCCAGCGGTCCTGTCGAGCAGCTTCAGTCGCCCCCACCGGGCCTGTTGCCTTCTAGACCAGAGTTCCAGAACTACAGGCACATGGAGGCTATGTATATCTCTCTGGTGGCTGTTCTTGGCGGGCTTTGTCTGGTTCTAATGGTGGTCCTCCTGTACGTTAGCTTCTGTGCACGCAACTCTCCCAATGCCAGAAAGTACTCCCAGCAAGCTCTGTCCGTAACCACGGCAGCCGAAAGAAAGAGGAGCTCGCACTTTGAGCTTAAAACCATCTCCAGTCACTGTAATGGCAGAACGGAGGGGCGTAGCAGAGCGATGTCAAGAGACGGAGAGTTTCTACAGATCGTTCCAGCGGACATCCAGACCACGCCTAGCAAGGAACCTCCGCCTGCGCCGCCACTTCCTCTGCCTCCACCCCTGCCTGCATCGGAGTATGCCAACGGACTGTCGGCCACATTGCCCAGTGTGCTAAGAAAGATGAACAGGAATAGCTACGTGCTCCTGAGCCAGACGGACACGGAAATGACATCTCCGCTTTACCACTCCTTCACCGAGGAGCTCAACAGGATTCTAGAAAAGAGGAAACACACACAGTTGGACATCCAGCCAGATGAGAGCTCAGTGTAGCACGATCTCGCATCACTACTATATCGCCCCCTTGTGGTATGGAGGCTTACATTTTGTATAAGAGCCAAAAGAAACATGTCTTTTGAAGTTCTTCATGGTTTCTCGATATACAACTTCAACTTATTTGGCTCGGTGCCTTTGAGAATCATCTCGTGAAAATATATTCTTGAAAATATTTCTGAGTTTGGCCGAATTTACTTTGAATTTAAAGGGGTCATATGATGCTGCTAAAAAGAACATTAGCGTTATGCAAATCTTCCCACATAGTGAGGTAGATATGTGGGGACGTGTTAGAACGAGCCGTTTTAGGTAGGCGTGGTTAACTCTTTAACTTTTATAAAGAATATCTCTTTGGATTTGAGACTTTAGTCTTTGCAACTTTACAGATCTTCTTTATGCACCAAGAGCTTGTAACACTCCAAAGAGAAAGGAAAAATTGAAATCGCATCATATGACCCCTTTAATAGACATCAAATGTAGCTAAAGGCACCTAGACTGTGGACCTCGAAGTGTAAAAATCACAAGATGATCTTCAGTCAAGAACAGCAAGACTCAATTTGGTTATGTTGTTTTGTTTTAAAGGAGAAGTAAGAGACTTAAGAACACTGTCCAAAGACTTTCTCAGCAAAGAAATGCACATTTGTACATAATCAATGTGATATTATTGCTCAAATGCAGACGTTTACAGATTTTTTGTTTTTGCCTAATTGCACCTGATTTAAATAACAATCATTTTATTATCAAAGTACTAATAGTCAGAGCATTTTCAAACTTCTTTGCTAGTTCATTAATAATTCAAAAAGAGTTTGGGTTTCGAGCCTGTTGGCAACATTTCATGAATGTGAGGGCACATGTTCTTGAGATTTGGGCATTTTACACAGTTTCACACTAGATTGGAGTCAGATTACAGGAGCAGCGAGTGTTAGCACATCCATCATTGACATTTATACAGATACAGAGGTGGTCATTTTCAGAGCCACTCAGCTGTAGAATTCAACACCTCCTTTAGGGATGAGTTAGGGATGTCAGAAGGAGTGAATAGATCTCAAAATGGAAGAAACACTCTCTCTGATGCAAGATTTCCCTGTCAAATGAGATGCTCACAAACGGAAGTAAAAGCCAAAATGCCAGGACGTTTGAAGTTTGATGAGTTTGCATTTAGTTGATTTTCTGCATTTTGAACGCATGACAATGCACCTGGTTAATTGACTTTTAAACCTCAGACATAAATGTATTTCTATCAGGGCTGTCAGTTTATTATTGTAATTGAATTAAATTAGTTTTTAAAAAATCTGATGCACTACAGTTCAAATGTTTGGGGTCAATGTTTTTGAAAGAAGTTTCTTCTTATGCTCACCAAGGCTGCATTTATTTGATGTAAAATACAAAAACAGCAATATTGTGAAATACTATAACCATTTCAAATAACTGATTTCTAAAATGTAATTTATTCCTGTGATGGCAAAACTGAATTTTCAGCAGCCATTACTCCAGTCTTCAGTGTCACATGACCCTTCAGAATTCATTCTAATATGCTGATTTGGTATTCAAGAAAAGTTTTTACCTATGCTAAAGACAGTCGTTGCTTATATAATTTTTTGTGGAAATCATGATACGTTTTTTGCAGGATTCTTTGATGAATAGAAAGTTTAAAAAAAACAGCATTTTTTTTTTAATACAATTTTTTGTAACAATATATTTACTGTCATTGATCAATTTAATGTGTCCTTGCTGAATGAAGGTATTAATTTCTTTGTTGATAAAATAAATAAAATCTCGCTGTCCCCAAACTTTTGAATAGTAGTGTATATTAATGAAAAATTTTAACACAATTAATTATGCCACCTGATCCCAACATTGGGGGTTTTCTACTGCAAATATTGTCTTGTGAGTAACTGAGATTAATTTGATTAATTAATCAGCATATTGTAATTAATTCTATTACATTTCAACTGACAGGCCTAATATCTATACAGCTGTATGTCTTATTTCTGCTTTGTGTATTGTGACCCCGGTTTTGTTCTGGTTTGTCAACAGTGTTACGAGTCAGCTCTTGTCGTTTCTCCCTAGTGGCTTTCCCAGCTTGTGCTGCTCTGTTTGTCAGTGTTGCTGACAGGAATAGCACTGCTTAGCAAGGACTCAATCAAGATGCAGAGAGAGATGTGGAGTCTTTTCTTAAAACTGCAGAAAGAGTAGGGAGAGACATGATGTGCTTGTTTTGGCCAGTAAATCGTGAAGCTAACACAAGTGCCGTCACACTGACTCCGTGTGCTTCAGCTCATCTTTTTTTTCACCTTCTCTCACATTTTCCTTTCATTCAGGTGTTATTTTGCGTCCATGCACTTCACCCACTTGTCTGATCTACATAACATTTTTGATCAGTCTTCCATGAGACTTATTTCTATTGCATACGAGTGTCAACGTATGTAGATTTTATGTCAAAAATGCAATTCTGACTTTTTGGTTCACTGATATAAATACATTATACAAGTCAACATAAGACTAATTTGAATGGGTTTTAGGTTAAACAGGGTATTTACAATGCTGTTAAAATATACAGTTTTTAAAGAAATTAATACTTTTATTCAGCAAGGATGCATTTAATTCTTCAAAAGTGACAGTAAAGACATATAAAATGTTACAAAAGATTTCTGTAAATAGTGATCCTTACAACTTTCTAGTCATCAAAAAAAAAAAACAATAACATGATTTTTGGCAAATTATGACAATAATATGAAATGTTTCTTGAGAACCAAATCAGCAAATCAGATTAATTTCTGAAGGATCATGTGACACTGAAAACTGGAGTAATGATGCTGAACATTTAGCTTTGCTGTCACAGGAATAAATTACATTTTAAAATAAATTGCAATAGAAAATAGTTATTTTAAATTGTAATAATGTCTCAATATTACTGTTTTTACAGTATTTTTGAACAAATAAATGCATCCTTGATGAGCACTAGAGGCTGAAAAGTTGATTCAGTGATGGAGAAAGTTGGAAAGTGCATGGATGAATTGTTCATAATATTAACATGTATTAAGAAAGTAAACAATTTTGATTTCATGTTGACTAAGTGCTGTATGCCTATGGTGTACTTCTAGTCATAAACTGTGATTCATCATGATTTAAATATTAGCCATTTGCTGTCACTGTGTATCCACTGCCTCCCTATAATCACACAGAAAGTTTTTAACTTAAAATTTTCCCGAAGTTTTTGCTATGCTTACATGTCAGTCATAGTGTGTATTCATGTACATATTGGTTTCACTATTTTAGAGCTTATACGTACAAAACGATATCTGACGTTTACATCCTATTAAAGTATTTATTATCATAGCTACTGCCCCTGTATCTTGTGAATTCCAAAGGTTAAAGATCATTTTGCCTGCAAGTCCTCTAAAAAGAAACCTCTGACTAACGTGAACCTCATTTTCTGTCACAGTAGGAGATTTTAACCAGATCCCCATCTGTATCAGGCCTGTTGGTATGCCCCCCATGTATCCGTTATTTAGCAGCACAGCTCTTAATTTAGAACTTTCTTTAATCCACATAATAGGTCAAGCTAGTTTTCACTGGGGAAAAAAGATGTGAACAGAGCACTAGTCTCATCTGGTTGTAATAAATGGGACATAATAAATACACTTCCCTCTTGTGAACGGATTCATTAATACATGGCTTACATTGATTAGATGCTCAACCTCGAGTTATCTTGCTAGGTTACTACCCAGCAGCCAGTTCATCTCCGTGGAAACTCAGTTGCTCTACCTTGCTGTTCGAGCGACAGCCAGAAGAAAAGAATTAGCTTGTGGACTCAATGTCATTCATAGTGGTCAGTAACATTTTGTTTAGAGAGTTTAGCTTGCTGTTTTTTTTAAATAAAGTGCCAAAAGTGTTGATACTGATTACAGCCATATTCTAATGTTCCCGCCTCCAAACTGATCAAGGTCTGTGGCATACTGTGTTTATTGCTTTTTTGCCAGTAATGTGTGGGAGTGAGAAAAGCTTTTCTCTCGTGTCCTTAAGCTTTGTGTCGCTGTCACTGTAGATTAAACGCACACAATGCATGTCGGTTTCTCAGCAACTTTAATCAACAGGACTGTAACCAACATAGATATTCTGCCCTAATATTCATTAACACTTGATAAGTGGTTTTTAATGGTTTATTCTGAAATTACATTCGGTCACCCATAAATATGTGGTTACAGCCTTGCAATAATATGATTTCCTGTGCTTCCTGACCCAAAATTTCTGTTCTGTGCTACAGCTGCAAGTTGTCACAATTGTAATGGCCCTGCAAAATTATTCAATAGATTTTATTTTACAAAGATGAAATACCTTCAATGTTATTTTAGTATCATATTTTCCGTTTTCATTTTAATGTTTTAATAATTTTGTTGTTTTTGTCTTTTTTTTTGTATATGTCCATGTAGTTCTTATTCATTTTTATTTCAGTTTTAGTTGTTTTTAGTACATAAAAACTAAAATGAGAAATGTTGCCCTGAAAAAAAGTTAAAGCATTTTTTTATTTAATTTCAGTGAAATAAAAAAATTAAAAAAGTGTTTTATTTCAATTAACAATCTTGCACCACAGTAATTTTTTCAAGAGTTTTAGTTTAGTGTAATAACTGTACTATAGTAACTATTAGAATCCCTTGACTTATTACTGGCGAAGTTCAAATTTATTCTGTCAAGAGTAGCTTTCTGAGATATTAGGAGTTATTACTGCAGGGGTGTTTTGGTAATAACATCAAAACAAGTGAGTGATATAAGCATATAGTCATATTTTCAGTTCAAAACTTTATTTCCCAAAGGAAACGTTATATTTCTCAGTGGATGGGTGAAAAGCAATGAATCTTATTTGAGCACAATTTCACTGTTATATAAACTTTATCAAGCCACCAATAATCTGTCATAATCAAACCGAAAAGTATCATTTTAAAAATCTAATAATAGGTAACTGCTGAAAACATGTTGAATTTGTGTTGATTGTGTGCTGTGGCAGAAGTTCAGAGCTC